TTGGAGTGATGAGCTAAAAAACAAATGTTTAATGGAAATTTAAGTACTGCACTTCTGTTGCTCAAGAAAGTTGCTGATGAGCAGATAGCTTGCATAGAATATTTGTTGACATTTGCATCACTATGGGGTCTGTAGCAATTTCACTGATTGCAAGAAAACCTGACACAGAGCTGCTACTTTAGAAATTAGTAATTTTAAGAACATTGCACCAGGCCAGGCACAGCGGCTCATGCCTGTAATCCCGGCACTTTGGGAGGCCAAGGCAGGTGGGTCAAGAGGTCAGGAGTTCAAGACCAGCCTGGCCAAGATGGTGAAACCCTGTCTCTACTAAAAATATAAAAATTAGCTGGGTATGGTGGCAGGTGCCTGTAATCCCAGCTACTTGGGAGGCTGAGGCAGAGAATTGCTTGAACGTAGGAGGCAGAGGTTGCAGTGAGCTGAGATCGTGCCAGTGCACTCTAGCCTGGGTGACAGAGTGAGACTCTGTCTCAGAAAAACACAAAAAACCAAAAGAACATTGCGCCCTAAGACACGGTTCTCATCCATGTAGTTGCAAAAGATGCTGATATAAGATCATTCTGAGGGGCATGACTTTTCCCTTAGATCAAATGACTGTTTTTTAAGTTAACTCAGCTCACATTTAATTCCAGCTTTTCTTGTGCACGTGCAACAGTGGAAGTGATGGCTGACTGTGCGTTGGCTCCATAAGAAGAATGTCATAGAAAGCAAAATGGTGCCCGCTCAACACCAGTATCCTCAGACTCTTCAGACAGAAAAGCCTGTCAATTCCAATCACAATTCATCCTTTCATTCAGCTCATGGAAGCAAAGCAGGGCTTTGCAACATTCATTCTGGCAAAGTGAAACAACTGACTTTTTGTGAATGCTATTTTAAGTTGTTTAAATTTTCCACATTGGAAATAAAGTCATTGCATTTTTGTGAGGATAAAACACAAATTTTGGTGGAGTCCAGTGTCATGGTAACAACAATATTCCTACTAAATTAAGACACTAATGAAACAGAAATGTGATTGGAACAGGTCATGGTGCATACACAATTTGTTACTGCATGTAAATAAATGTCAATATTCTATAAATAGAAATAGGTGTACGTGACAAGATTTATAAAATGTTAAAACATATGCACAGATTTACTGAACTACAAACTTGATGTGACAAAGTTGTTCATGAATTTTTTAAAACATTTGACTTTCACATGTGTTTTCTCTTTTATTTTCCCATTATCAACCAATTTTGGAGGACACTGAGTCTCAGTGCCATAAAACGTTATTAAATAGTGTGTTGAAACAGATCTCTAAATTTTTGTTGAATTTTGTTCCAAATCAGTTGGAAATATTTAGTCAAGTTATTCAATAAATAGAGCACCAAAACATCAGCTTTCAAAGCTTTTAGTGAATTATAAGTACTGAAAACAAAGCTGGTATGCAGAAAAATTATAAAATGTATCAGAAAATGATCAAAATCAAATGCTGTAGAAGAGTTAATTTTGAAATTCTAAAATGAGCTCTGGAATATTTCAGTTTGTGGGAAGAATCTTTTTAATTGGATAAATTCATGTTCTGTGTGGAAATGAAATGAAATTGAGAAAACCAGTGATTTGCAGTATCTGAATTTGACAAAACATTCAAAACTTATAAGTAGGTACAACTTATTTGAAAGGTTTAATCTGGTAAAACTGGTTTAAAAAAAAAAAACAAAAAAAACCACTTGTGGGCTGGGCGCGGTGGCTCATGCTTGTAATCCCAGCACTTTGGGAGGCCAAGGCAGGTTGATCACCTGAGGTCAGGAGTTCAAGACCAACCTGGCCAACATGGTGAAACTTCCTCTCTACTAAAAATTAAAAAATTAGCCAGGCATGGTGGCGGGCACCTATAATCCCAGCTACTCAGGAGGCTGAGGCAGGAGAATCGCTTGAGCTGGGGAAGCGGAGGTTGTGGTGAGCCGAGATAGTGCCACTGCTCTCCAAACTAAGGCACAAAGACAGCACCTGTGAAAATATCTGGGCTAAAATATTTATGCAATTCCATGGGCAAAGAATTGGACTTGAGAACAGCCTCTGCCTGGCAGAATTTGCTGAGAGCTTATCACTCAGAACCTACAGATGGAACATTTTCTCAATATATTATGGTTCAAGAGAAGAGTCAATTGAAAGTACTAATTTAAATTTGTTAATTGTAAAATTTGTGGAAAAAAAATTTCAGGCAATTATATGGAAAAATTAAAAATAACAAGGCCACATTGAAGAAAATACATTATTGGGAAAAATGCCAAAGATATGGTATCAGTCAGGTACAAGAAACCATAGCATGTGAATATGCAACGAGAAAAATCATTTTGCTTATCTTATTTATTTATTTTTTGAGATGGAGTCTGGCTCTGTCACTCAGACTGGAGTGCAGTGGTGCGATCTCGGCTCACTGCAAGCTCTGCCTCCTGGGCTGGCACCATTCTCCTGCCTCAGCCTCCCGAGTAGCTGGGACCACAGGCACCCGCCACCAAGCCCGGCTAAGTTTTTGTATTTTTAGTAGAGTTGGGGTTTCACCATGTTAGCCAAGAGAGTCTCGATCTCCTGACCTTGTGATCCACCCACCTCCACCTCCTGCTTATCTTATTTTTAAATGTTCAGTTAATTAACATAAAAATGTTTTATTTTGCTTTAATATTCATAGGTGCATGTATATGTATTTAAAGACTTTTTTTGAAAATAGTTTTTATCTAGAACTACTTTATAACACCATCAATATAATATAACAATTTTGTTGGACTTTTTTTCTCCCTCCCTCCCTCCCTCCCTTCCTTCCTCCTTTCCTTGCTCCCTTCCTTCCTTCCTTCTTTCCTTCCTTTCCTCCTTCTCTCCTTCCATCCCTACCCTCCTTCCCTCCCTTCCTTCCTTCCTCCCTCCCTCCCTCCCATCCTGCTTCCCTCCCTCTCTCCTTCCTCCCTCCTTCCCTCCCTTTCCTTCCTTCCTTCCTTCCTTCCTTCCTTCCTTCCTTCCTTCCTTCCTTCCTTCCTTCCTTCCTTCCTTTCCTTCCTTTCCTTCCTTTCCTCCTTTCCTTCCTTTTTTCCTTCCTTCCTTCTTTCCTCTCTCTTTCTACCTATAAATACTGATTTTTTTTGGAAATAATTTTTGACTATTGGAGTGCCCTGGCAGTGTGCACAACACATGGCCTGGCCATCCTTCTAGCTATCTCTGATGATGGCCAGGAAGCCGAGGTCTATGGTGACAGAGATTGGCCAGTGGGAATGGATGAAATTCCCCTGTGATAGGTTGGGAATTTTCAGGGAGAAAGAAGGCGAGATCCTGACCTATGGTGCAGGGGCTGGGGCATTGAGAGTTTGAGAAGAGACAGGAGGGTGCTGAGCACTGATATGGTTTGACTGTGTCCCCACTCAAATCTCATCTTGAGTTGTAGCTCCCATAATTATCGTGTGTTGTGTGAGGGACTTGGTGGGAGATAATTGAATCATGGGGGTGGAGAACAAAGCCAAGCCAATATCTTGACTTTAGTTCAGCGAGACTGAGTTTGAACTTCTGATCTCCAGAACCGTAAGACAATAACTTTCATCATTTTAAGCCATTAACTTTGTGATAATTAATTACAGCAACCTTAGGAAATCAGCACAGGGGGTGAGGCTGCACCTTGCCCAGGAAGCCAGAGACGACCAGCTATGCAGGGACTTTAGCTCGAATCTGATTAGGTCAGCGGACACCACCCCCATTCCCAGGACTGGGAGGTGGCTGGGGCCACTGCAGCCACAGCATGTGTCTGCTCACGTGGGGCTTCTTTTTAAAGGGATTGTCCTCACCTGCTGCTGTCTGTGTTTATGAAGTTGGCCAGAAAGAAGAAATCTTCCTTTGCCAGGTTTAGCTTTAGCTCTGATATTTGCCTGGAACATAGTAGGTGTTCAATAAACAATATCTGTGGATATTGTTAGTAATATGTGACCCTATTTAAAGAACTCAGAAGGGGCATTGGGCAAGTCTACGAGAGAGGGAGATTCTGTCATTTCTGTGTGGTATTTTCTGGATTCTGCACATTTTAACCTTGGCTATGAGAGAGTGTGACTTTTTCCAACAAATTAGTTAATTCTTCAAATTAACTCCAATTTCAACAGCATGGTGATGATAAAGGTGTTGGAAATCCAGCCACAGATGTTAAAGACCGTCAGCACGGTCACATAATAAGATGCTACTTTCAAGCCGCGAATAACCCAACCAGTTATTGGTCATATGAAATCTTGTAAGCCATTCCAGAGAAACTAATTTAATTTTTATGATTCAGAATTTGCAGGCTGTAACGGGTCAGAGTCCATGCAAGCTCTGGTGGCTGTATTCAGCCCTGACATGTTTCACTTGATTTTGATATAAGGAGTTACTAGAACCTTCCCAACAGTTCTAAAACCTTTCCCTCCTCCTCCTGTTCTGGAAAAGCAATTAAGACCTAAACTAGACATGAAATAAAAGTCTCTTAAATTGATTTAGAGTTATTTTTAAAAAGTTCCCTCACAGAAGCGGAACATTTTGCCAAGAGGTAGGTGTAAAAGGAAGTTTTTTGTTTTTCTAAGAGACACAGATTTCCCCTTATATTGTACTCTCATAAAAGAGAAAGAAGGTGGTCATTTACTTACTCAGGCAGAAAATGAAGGCGTTCACAACTTTAGCTGGGTTTTCTGATAGTGAGAGCTGCCTTTGGAGGTGTTTTCTCTTCTGGGAAGCTCTGTGGAAATGTGGTCGCTTTAAATTATATAACCTCCTCTCCAATGACGTCATTGTGGGGATTGCCGCAAAAGTGAGTCTTTTGGGACTCACTCCAAGTGGATTTGGAAGGAAAAATCCACTCTCATTTCACTTTGCACTTAAGGGATGATGACAGATTATTCAGTTACCATCTCCTCTTTTACTTTGGTACCATCTGCAGAGCCTGCAATCCTGCCCAAGACTTGTACATTGGCCAATAGGCCCTAAAAACACGTTTTGGCATTGCCAACTTGCCCCAAGGCTCGCAAAGTGTCAGTGAACATTGAAGGACAGCTTTTGACCCCTTCACTGTTGGCTTCTGAATGTCTGGGGCTCTGCAGCTGCTTTTGTGGGAGCCACTTCGAATGGCCCCTTTTGAATTTTGGTCATGAAAGATACATTGCCAAGAATTCATCAGAGTGGACCCATCACACAGAGAGCTAGGAAAACGTTTGACTCATGCAATGTTCAGAGTTGAGTAAGACCAGATACGCTTTTTCCTAATCCTCCTTGGCGGCTCTGAAATTATGTTGGCATGGGTCAAGTTGAACTACTCAAGACCTCATGTTTCAGACAGTAAGATATTTTTGGCTTTCTTTGAGAATCAGGTGGCAAGATTCTCCAACTGAAGGCCCCTTACCTGCCATCTTAAAAATTACGATCTTCCCAGGCCACCCCCTACATGTAGGAGAACTCATTCATGCCAGAATTCAGGGCTTCGAGTCTGACTTCTGGGAAGGTGACTCTCTAAATGTTTGGAGCAGAAGGTGTTACCTCTGTCTTTAGAATCTTGCCTTTTCCCTGCGTTCCCTTTTTCTGCTAGTGACATCTCAGTGGGAGCCAACTGCACTTCAAGTTTTCCTGCTATTTTCTCCTGTTGCTGAAGACCTTAAAATTGTGGAAGTAGGTGGAACAAATAGCATTCTGAGGCTCAGTAGTGGATGTACATTTCAGGGAAGAAGTTGGAATTTGCCTTAGAGGATGGTTCCTTCCTATCAGGAGAGACCTCCTGGGTGGGATTTGCAATAAAAAAAAATTGTCAACAGGAAAGCATCTTTCATCATTCTGGGGATAGATCTGAACCAGAAGGCGGCTCCAAATCTTAGCCTTTCCTGTTACTTAGTAATGTAGGCGGGGTTCTCTACAGCCCGCGGCTGGCTTATTCTCCCTTCAATATGAGTTTAGACGATACTGTTTCTGAGAAACATTTATTCTTAGGAAATGTCTCCCTGTTGATTCACCCAGGAGCGCGTATAAAGCCAGCTCTGCCACGAAGAGCACATGCAGGTCTGATCTCTGCTTTGCCTCTCGCTGGAAGACAGGCCATGAAGAGAGCTGGCCTGAGTGAGCTGGACTTCAGAGATGCATCTGGCCGCCTTGCTAAGGTGATGGTGGGGAATGGAAAGTTCTTTAAGAAGACCCATGTTTCCCCTTGTTGCTCATCTCCATGGGAAACGCGAGACAGGCCTGGGCTCAGGGGAGCAGAGGGTCTCCTACTGTCTCTGGGGCTAAAGGAGTGGGGCTGAGGGTAGGGGGAGGAGACCCCAAATCTGTGAAAGAAAAGCAGGTCCCTATAGCGTGGCAGAAGACAGTGGGGGGCTAAGAAGTGGGAAGGCACTGAGGACCCTCTGCTGAGGCTTTACTTGCCTTTTCTTTCCTTTTCTTTCTTTTTTTTTTTTTTTTTGAGATGGAGTTTTGCTCTTGTTGCCCAGGCTGGAGTGCAATGGGGCGATCTCAGCTCACTGCAACCTCTGCCTCCTGGGTTCAAGCGATTCTCCCGTCGCAGCCTCCCGAGTAGCTGGGATTACAGGCTCCCACCACCACACCCAGCTAATTTTGTATTTTTAGTACAGACGGGATTTCTCCATGTTGGTCAGGCTGGTCTTGAACTTCCGACCTCAGGTGATCTGCCCGTCTCGGCCTCCCAAAGTGCTGGGCTTACAGGTGTAAGCCACCGTGCCCGGCTGAAACTTGCCTTTTCTGAATTCAGTTGTTTGTAATTCCCACAGCCTCCATAAGGTTTGGTTAAACCTTACAGTCTGATGTGCACTGTGCTTGATGAAGTCCCCTGGGTACTTGGGTAAAGAGGTGGCCACAGAGGATAAAGGGCTGCCTCTGGAAATAGAGGACAGGCCCACCTTCCCTGGGGTGTCCTTAATACCAGTGAGGAGGCACTTCAGGCAGGCTGGACTCCCTGTAGTATGCATCGGCTTGGACCATACTGGATGTGTATTTAAAGGAAAGTGAGCTCTGGAGTTTGAGGCCCCTGGGGACATGCAGTCCCAGTGCCCACTGTGACATCAAGGGAAACTTTGCAGTTCTCTAGTCGATCAGTCCTGGAGTTTTTTTCTCCTTTACTTTTCTAGTCATATCCAGCAGGTTCTTCAAAATGAAAGATTCTAGTACATGTCACCCAGCACACCTCTACAAGTAGCACCCAGATGCTAAGCCTCTCCAGGGTTCGTTCTTAGTCCTAACGACATCTGATGTCTCCAGTGTTCTCCCAGTTGTAGATGTAGGACAGAAAGCCACAGCTGGGCAGAATTCTTGCCAGGAGGAAATGCGGCACCCTCACTGTGGTCCGGCTCGTGTCCTTTCACCCCTGACCCCAAGGCTGTTGGCCATCACACCTTTCTTCCCATCGCAGGGTTTAGAAACTCATGCAACGTACGTACAAGTCTGCAACAAAGGGCTGTAAATCAATCTCCTGGCTTTCCGATTCCTTTCCTTCAGTCTATCCTTCTGCTGGATTAATATTCTGGAAACACCTGCATTTTGTCATGTCACGGGACAATGACCCAACCCCTTGGAATTCATGAGTTCCCCCATAGTCTTGCTGTAACATCCAGAGCCACCCTCCACACTGAGTGAGTGACTCATGGGCTCCAAATGCATCCTGCTTGTGAGCATTTGCTGAAAATGACCTCCCCCTCCTTGCTTTGTTCAGTGCTCATCCATCACTTAAGTCCTGGTGTAATCCTCTGCTCTTCTGTAAGCACAGTGTCTGAGTGCTTTCCCCTTTATTCTACAAACACGTATGGAGCACTCACCGGGTGCCAGGCAAATACCAGCAGGCAAATGCCACAAAAGCATATGTGTCTGGCACACAGGAAGCAGGGAATGGATGGGGTGAACAGAGGGGGTCAAAGTGTAAGGGGGGCGGTAAGCAGAAAATCACAAATGTACATTCAGCAAAGCACAAACACTTGGAGATCTACAGGATGACAGTGCGGACATGAGCATTCAGGCAGCTCCAGGTGCTGCCTTGGCCTGGCAGCCAGCCCTGAAGTGAAGGGTCCTGGGTGCTGGCTCTGGGGTGGGAAGGTGCCCACTTAGCAGATAAAGCTCCACTGGGTCAGGGGTTCCATGGGCCAGGAAAGTTAAAAAAAAATGCATATGAAACTCCCTGCCCTTGTGTGGCCCTGCATTGGCAGATGAAGGCCTTCTCGCCCGGGCAGAGCACGGATATCACCAGACCTTACTCCTTAGGGAGCCTCGAGAATCCCAGGAGTGCACATGCACTCAGAAGGGGCTTGTACCAGGACAATCAACTGCATTTCTCTGTCTCCTAAAGCCGAAGCCAGGCCATGTCACGTCTCTTCTCAGACTCCTCTGTTGCTGTCTCAGGCCCAGGAAAACACACAGACCTGACATCGGGAAGGCTGCACATTCGCAGACCCAGCTGCCTCCCAGAGCACATGCGCAGACCCAGCTTCCCAGACCACCTCTCTCATGGTGCCTGGCTGCCCTGGCTTTCTAAAGCTGTGGTTTTTTTTGTTTTTTGACACAAGGTCTCACTATGTCGCCTAGGCTGGTCTCAAATTCCTGGGGGCCCAATCCATCCTCCCTCCTCGGCCTCCCAAAATGTTGGGATTACAGGCACTCCCCACTACGCCCAACCTTTCCTCTCTCTGTTTTGGATGTGCCACCTTCTCTCCCACCTCAGGGCCTTTGCACGGTCCATTCCCCTGCATGGAGCACCTTGCCATTGAGAGCCCCACGCTTGCTTCCCCGGGTCCTTCTTGTCCTCACCAATCCCCCCTTATCAGAGAGCCCTTTCCTGAAATAACCGCTCCTCCTCTTGGCCTGCTACACTGCTCTTTACAGCCCTATTGCCACCTGCCCCACCAGGCAAGGGATTTGTCTCTTTTGATTAGGTTTATCTTCCCAGCTCCTACAACAGGGCTGATATGTAAGAAGTGCTTAAATATTTGCTGAGTATATTCATAACCCTATGTATTATAAATAAATATGTAATAGCAATAACTTGTCTTATGTCAACAAACATGTCCCAAACCCCTTGTAGGGGCCAGGCCCTGTGTGGACATGGGGGGTGCCGAGATGAACACAGCCCCCTGCCTGCCCACTTAAGGAACTCTTGGGATGGCTGAGGACAAGGACAAGCTGACGTCCAGTGACAACATGTTGTAGAAAGCAGAGTGGCAATGAAGTTCTGAGGCTGTGTCCGAGTGTGAGGTTTGAAAAAAATGAGTTCTGCTCAAGGGGGAATGGGATGGGTAATTTATGTGTCGTGCTGACTGGGCCATGGGGTGCCCAGACATTTGGTTAAACATGGTTTCTGGGGGTGTCCGTGAGTGAGTTTAACCTTCACAGGTTAATTCGAATGATTAATGTTTGAGTTGGTAGACTGAGTAAGGCAGATTGTCTTCCCCAACGTGGTGGGTGGCATCGAACCTGTCGGAGGCCTGAATACAACCAAAAGGAGCAGCAAGGGAGAACTGGTTCTCTCTGCCTGGCTGTTTTCAAGCTGGGACATCTGTCTTCTCCCACCTTCTCACTGGCCGTCCTGGGTCTCTGGCCTTCACACTCCCACTGGAACTACATCACTGGTCCTTCTGGGTCTCCAACTTGCAGATAGCAGATGGTGGGATTTCTCAGCCTCTATAATGGCATAAACCAATTCCTTATAACAAATCTATCTATATTTATCTATTTTCTGTTGGTTGTGTTTCTCTAGAGAACCTTGACTATTATGCAGAGTTGGGGAAGAATTCGTGGCAGAGGATTATTTAAACTGGGTTTTCAGGGCTGAATACGAGTTTGGAAGGCAAGCAAGCTGAGAAAACCATCGCAGGTGGGGGGACCAGTATGTGTATTGTAACACACACATGTTCATAAGCCTTTGTGGAAGGCTCACTTGGAACTTGGAGTCAGAAAGCCTGGGTCAAGCTCCACACCCCAATTACTCATTCTATCCATGAATATCCCCTATCCCCTACCCTCCAGCAGGCCCTGTGCAGCTCTTGGTTTGGTTCAGGGAAGAGAACTGAGTGATAGTTTCAGTCCAGAGTAAGGGTGCTTTGAGACAGCAGGTGCAGAAAGTTTTGTAGCTCACAGAAGCAATTT